AAACGCTGATGTAATTGAGTGCTTCTTGCTCATACTACAAGTACCTGGGCAAACGATGACGAATAGTAAGAGTGTTGCACAGCTTTTTTATCTAAGTCTGATTAGACGGGTCTATCATACAAATGTGCTTTGCGCGGCCCTTAAGGCAATGGATTACTGCCCCTCTCTGGAAAATTGTTGCATGTCCAGCTTATATTGAATGTTTTAGGCTGTATTAGCTTGCTAAAGAGCTGGCGCCATCGGTCATCAAGGATAGATCTCGTTTGACGTATAAGAAAAAAGAGCAAGAAAAGGGCAATTGACAGAAATTTTTGTACTATCTATTACTATAGAAAGTCCATGAGTGCTTCGATAACATAGTAGTAGGTTGGCACCAATGGCGCACCGAGGCCCCCCCCCCGAGAATGGGTCGCGAAAGCGTGGCGTCAGCCATGTTCCCTTTCTCTGGAACTTCGAGATTATAGGCCCGCAAAAAATTTGGGAAACATACCAAAAAAATTTCGTAGTGCGTGGTGATACCACGCACCTTCCTCCCTCAGGAAAAAACTTCTGTCCCCCTTCCCCCCTCCCCCCGGACGGAAATCTTGGGTACGCTACCGGTTAGCACATAAATTTTGCAACTAATTTCGTAACTTTTGTCTTTTTGGCTATGACGCATTCAATTTGAGCATAATGTAGATTAGGTAGTAGGCTACATCTGTTTTTGAAAGCTGATCAAAATCGAAATTTTGCTGGTCCAAAAAAGATAAAGCCGTTCTCAGTCTGAATAGAACAAATCAAGCCGAAAACTGTACAGATCTTTAGAGATCCTCCATAAAAAATCATAAAAATGGGCACCTTGATATGTTCGATCCAGACTAAAAACATTTTCATTTTTATTTTTAGAGCCTTGTAATTTCGAGCTCGGCCAGCTTTCGAAAAAATGCATGCATTTTCTCCATTTTGCTGCCAAAAGTGAAACTGTATGTATGCGCTACGTCTGTAGCCTGTTACCTAATCTACAATATGCTCAAAAACGATTTATCAATTCAAAAAGAATAAAGTTACGAAATTAGTTGTAAAATTTATGTGCCAGCCTAATGTGTATTATCGCATTTGCATTCCACTTGTGATTCATACATCTTGTCCAATCGTCGGTATTTTCATACTGCATGCATGAAGTGTTATGTTGTGATGTCGAATGACTTCTTCTTCGCGAATCATGTGCAGTGAACTGATTTTCGTCTGACGCGGACAACAATTTCCAGTGCTCGTCCGTTGGGCGACTGGTGCTTGATCTTACCCTCTTTACACCATGAATCGAACAGTGAGCTCCTTCTTCGACAAGAAAGTCAAGCAAGGGACAGAGAACACGAAATTTCAATTCGACCCAATGAGATTCGATTTTTGGGAAGCTTGGTTGACCTAAGCGGTGCTTGATTACGGCCTTCGAGGGGGAGCGGCTCCTTGTCGTAGTTGTCTTGTGGCGCAAATCCAATTCGCTGACGTCTGCGCCCTCTCCGTTATGAAGCGTTCGACGACCTAACGAAATCGAGGATTTGGCCGTGATGGGCCGAATTACTCTTCACCAGCCCGCGCATGCAACTTCTATTCTTGACCCTAAGTGCTGAATCATACTCAAAGCCCGAAGAAGCTGGCTCTTCGTTGCTCTTGACTCTTCTAACTCCTCTATGTTTTCTTTCTCTCTCTGTCTCCACTGTAGCATGCCTCTTATCGGCCTATTCAATTTCGTCGACAAAATGAGAATTCACTTTTTGAGGAGTTCAATCTAGCCTATCCAAGCATTCATAGAACACATCTCTCTGATTGCTTTGCGTTTCCTGAGCCCTTTTGCTAGTGATTCGACTATTACTTGTTGAATTGGCATAACATCGATTGTAAGTCTTGCATCTCCATCCCCTACCGCCAGATTTTTTTTATCTGTAAATCTTTGTTTTTTACGGTGGATTTGGGAACCATACCCCTAACGAAATTAACTGGCGAATCTGTGATGTGAGCAATAACACTTGAGTTACTAACATGTTACTTTCCCTACCAAGATAAACAGATTGTCTTTTTTTTCGATAGTGAATATCAATATTAACTTTTTAAGGTGACTGGAATTATGCATAAAATACTTTCAGATAGTTCCACCCTTAACAATCAGGCTCTTCTAATTTTCATTTAGTTACTCTGATCAACGAAGCCCTTGGCATAAAAACAAAAATCTGTTCAGAATATCTACAACGTTGGGGTACTAGACTATTGTAAGTGCATGGCTTATCATGACGCGAAATTTTCATCCCCGAACGGCAGGTAGAGGCTGTTCAGTTTTTCTTAGTTCGAAGTTCTCATATGATTGTAGAACATAAAGTTCGTCAACTTCACAGCAATAGCCCTTCATCACTTATAAGGAAATTAAAAAAACCACATATTAGCATTTCTGGGTAGTTTTCAACGGTGCGCACTAGATAGTCCAGATAACATAAGTTCCAGAATTTCACATGTTTTTGCATTATTTGCTTCGAAATATACTGTGGTAAAACCAATTATTGTTGGACCTAATTCCTCGCGCTGACTATGATTCAGATAAGAAAGTGGCTTCTGGCAATTTAAATAATGCAAAGATTGGCTAAGCATTGCGAATCGAATATCTAATGCAAACTCATCATTTCCTTCATGCAAATGCAATCCGTCATCTCTCACTTTTCACGTGGAGTGCACATTCTCTTCAATCGTTGTTTTGGATTTCAAACTTATTGACGTCCCTTTCCATCTACGTATTTTCACTGGAGATGCACCAACACGTTTCTTTAGCCCAGTTTTCCGTAAATCACTTCTCATATGTAGTAGCACTTGTGTGCCTTCAATGTGATCTACCCTTACAGGCTAACAATCCTAAAATTTAAACGCCTTCATTTGCAAAGAGTTTCACAAATGATGGCATAATAAACAGGGCTCGGCACGAGGTGGCTAGTTGAAAATGCAAAAAAACGAAGTCCCCCTTGAATGCGAATTTTCACGAAGTCCTCTTTGACCCTAGAACCATAATCCCTATAAAATCTCCAAAACGAAACGTCGGCAAAAAAAACGTTGCAAATTCCGTGTCTTTTTGGCCTCAGAAACGAAATTCAGGTTGCTTGTAAGCTACCCGTGTCGAGCTCTAATAATAAAGCATGACTAAAAGCATAACAAGCAGCTCCTCCGCCATCAATACCCAAATTTATATTAAAATGTATTTTGGTGAAATGATTACCCACAACAAACCTTGGAATCTAGCAAAACTCAATCTAGCAGCAACATTCGCAGCACATGGATTCCTGAAAAGGCGTGCGATAGTCTTTCATTAATATGCGACAATTCTAGAAGAAAATGCGAATTTTCAATGGGGGTACACTGACCGTTTTCAAAATCGCAACATTTATGTTTTTACTATCATATATTTCTTAGGATCAACTGAGTGAGTCCACTTAGTATACATAGTACTATTGAACTTTTTGAACTTGTCATCATGGCGACCTATTATTGTCGTAATTGACACAGGATTGAGCCAATTACAATAACCAAACCTATAATCTATTCGTTGTGTTTCTATTTTTTTTGAACCTTACTCTCATTTGTTATCCAGATAAATTACAACCATACTAATGAGTTTACATTTCTGAATTTTCTAAAGTTTAAAAATTTAGAGTACAGGCATGTTGAAGGACTAAGTGTGAAACAGTGTAGAGACATACAGTGCTGGCCGAAACTATAGCTCTACTCAAACAATCACTTTAGTGCTGTGCCATACCCTCTTAAGAGACGTTTATTTGCTTTTTTCACTTGCTTTTTCCACTTGAATGAACTTTCACGCGTATTTTCTTCATGGAAGTGTGTTTGTATGTTTAGTTACGCAGTTTTCAGGAGTTTTGAAAGCGATAGGGTTTCATTTATCTCATGGATGCTTAGCGAACCACTAGAAAATTGATGAGTTTTTGAAGTTTAAGGCATACCTGATACAGGCCTACCGTAGTCCTATGCTCAAATTTCTGCCTTATTTTGCTTTCGATTGTTTTGACTTTCGACTAAGTACATGAACACAAAAAATTATTTAAGCCAAGAATTACTTTGATGGGTAGAAACTTTAGGCGGATCTACAGTTCCAGTCAGCTTTCAAGCTGCTTTTTTCACAATTTCTGATTTTTTTCTGAATAATCAAACGAAAGCGGGACCCGCTTTGGTTACTGATAGTAGGTTGTCGAACAAACAGCTTTAGCAAACTTCAGATTAATTCGCTAAAAACCAAGTGAGTTACGGCAGTTTTCCGGGTGGACCTTAGTTTTGGCCAGCATTGTAATAGCATGGAATCACAGAAATAAATACATCGAAATTTTGCACTGTGGAGATGTAAAAATTTTGTAAAAGAGCTTGACGAGAGCCAAATATTATATACTGTATAAAAGGTTGTGTTGCATAATTCATGACTTCGTTTAATCTTTTTTATGACAGAAGAGTGTATTACCGTAGAAGTCTCTTCGAAGCACTATGTGGAATTGAGCTATCTAATCTATTTAGTCTACATGATTATTCGACAAAAGTAACAGCAAAGACTTACTCTGTTCAGAATTTGGTTGCCTCCTCTTTTCTCAGCTAGAGCACTTTGTCATTCACTCTTTGTTTGTGCATTGGCACATGGTTATAGGCATATACGAATGAATGAATATCAAATAAGGCCAAACAAAATGTGCCATTTATTTCCACGTGGATTTTTTGTGCCCGGTATATTACACATTCCGATAATTTCTGTTTTTTTTGCTTTCTGCAGAAGCCAGCTTTTCATGTTTATATCAGGTACGAGTTCTTGTCTTTCCTATGGATCGGAATTTTTCACACTGAGTAAAATAGAAGATCCAAAAACTAGAAGACACCTTGTAGAATTCTTTCCTAACAGCACAACAGCATTTTGATTCGTGCAAATAGTTCTCATTGTTCTTCTACTCGTCTCCTTAGATTATTCGATTCAAGATCCCTACCCCTCATTAAGCGCAGTTTCAGGAATTCAGTCTGATTGTGTTATATTGATTCTATTTGCTTTTTTTCGGAACTCAAACACTGATTTTCGTATTCGAGCGAAGCTTCACCGCGAGCATGACTGTTATTCATTTGCAGTCATGAGATTACCAGTAAGTTGCTTATTTTTTTGAAAAGGAATTTTTGATGTGGAAACTCTATCACATTAGAAGTGATGGCATTTGTGCAGTGCTATAACAGTCCTTCAAGGAAATCAAAGAATAGCTTACAAAATGGTGATGAAATTACGACACCGTACTTTTGACTCAAAATTATTTGTAAATTTTCTGATTTTTAGCAAGAGTATATAATTTTTATAGAGGATCAATCACAAGCAGTTCTCCGAGATTTTCAGAATTTTTGAAGTGGCTCACATGGTCATAAAGTCGTGCAAGTCATTTCCAGAATAATTAGACTATTTCTTTGAAATTTCAGTCAACTTCATAGAAATCCTTTTCGGGGCAATGCTGCCGCCAAGGCTCGCAAAAAATTAGCATTTCAAAAATTTTGAAAACATTTGACTCCCTTCGAAAAATTTTTTTTCCTACCTTCACCAGTACAAAACTGCTTTGAAATCCGATGACATTTTAACTTCAGAAGATCGATATGTACTTTTCAGCAGTGTTATCCTGTCTGGGCGATGGTTGCAGTTTTTTCCAATTTCCTCGTTTCATATGGATTGGCCAAGCCCGATGCTAATTGCGCAAATGACACAGAGATCATTAACGCATTGCTCAAGGATACCTACAATAAGGTGCGAATTTTATGTTCTAGAGATCTTCTCATGCAAGAGAGACTTCATAATTATAATCATAAAATTTACAGTTCAAGACAGCCACTTACTCTGTCATCAATATATGATAGTCTGCTCTTTTGAGAGAAAGTTGATGTTGATTTTATATGTCTTCAGTACTTGTGATTTTTACATATTGGCTAAACTTTCTGATTGTTCAAAGATAGGAAAAATAGAAGTCTTGAAACTGACGCAACTTTTTACCTGAATCCATTTAGCATTACATTCCCTCACATCCGACACATGTGCGAGTGGACATGTGGGTTCAAGAAGTAACTGCCGTGTCAGAACTCACACAGGATTTTGAAATTGGTCAGTTCCCTTTTGTTCAACTTTTATGTTTTACAACATAGCGAAAACTGCCGCTGTAGACCGAGAGAGTCACACTGACGCCTAGCAACAGCTTTTTCTAATGTTTTGCAATTTTCATATGCACTTTCAGCAGGCATGTGATTTCGCTTTTCTATACATAACCATTCGTAATCTACATGTAGCATGTATCCGTTCCACCCCTGTGCGATTCAAACGGTCAAAACTTTCTATTTGGCAGAAGTTGCGAGATCGATAATGCACATCAAAGATCTGGTGGAAATTAAGAAGTTTTCTTTATTGTTGGAGGTCGTTACATGAAAGATAAAAAAGATGCTAGTTAGTGTCAGGGCCCAGCAGGAGGTGGCATCTGAGAATTTTGAAAACGAAGTCCCCTTTGACATGCAGAATATTACGAAGTACCCTTTGTTGTATTTGTAGAAGCACGGCTAATAATCTACAGCAAACGATGAGTTAACGGAAGTCAAAAATAGGCAAGGAAAATCGCAGATAAAAGAGCAACACGTGAAGAAAGCAGTTCCTCAATAATTCAAAAGCAAAACGGAAGAAACGAAATTCGGGTTATGGTAAGGTATGCATAGGAAGAGTTCAAACTGAAGAATAGATTTCTGTGAATTAATCTGGAAAATTATGTGAAGAAGGAAGAAAATCATGATTTTGTTTGGTTCCGCGCAACCACAGGGTGATCCCAGGTTGCGCGGAGCAACCTAAATTAGAAAAACACTTACAGCTCCTTTCATTCACATAATTTTTTTCATGATTTTCATACTTTCCTTTTGATCGTCGCCGCGGAGGTACACTCCAAATTTGGTGGCTCAATATTGCTTATAGGTTGTAAACGGACTGATTTTTTTATTTTTTTAAGCGTAAAGGTTGTGTTTTAACACGTTGAAATCGTGTGCACACGGGTCTAACAATAAGTACTTGTCATGTTAGGAAGTGTTTATCTACTTGTTATTTGTGAAATGACGTCGGAGTTGAAATAAGGGCTTACTAAGGGTTAGCTTTGTGCTTTCTAAATTATATCAGGTTTCCTGGAACCACCCCTGAACATTATGAATTCCCTTTTGCTTTTCTTTGAAAAAAAAATACATCCAGCCTGTGAAAGCGCCACCTCTGCTGAGCCCTGGTCAGTGCCCAACACATCAAAAGCGCGAAGTCTTCTGCTCTTTCTTGCATATCATGGTTGAGCGTATTTGACGCTAGCATAGAAGAAGTTGAATTTCCAGCGGCGAAACATGAGAAGCAATTTTAATCTCGCAAACTCAACATAGACTAAACTCTCTTTATCAGTCGACATCTCGGAAACCAGAATTTTGATGGAATCGGATTCAAAGATACAAAAGCAAATGATTGCCGTCCATACCAGCTCATGAAATCTCTAATTATAATATTTATGTTTTACTTGGATTACTAAGCTACCGTTGTAAGAAAAAAAATACTTTTGTCCGGATTCATCTAGTTCTCTACGCTATTCTGGAAGCTCGCGTGTAGTTCCGTGCAAAAAGTGTCGCTGCCTCCATGCGGGATCGAACCACAGACCTTCTGTTTACAAGACAGACGCTCTGCCACTGAGCTATAGAGGCGCACATCGCAAAATTCCTGATCGTTATTGATGTTTGGGACCAGAATCACACTGAACACAAATAGAAGTTCACCGGATGCTCATTATTATTGAGAGAAAGACTTTGTCCACAACGGAAATCTGAAATTTCCGAAAAAGCCGCTCCATCCCAACGTTTTTTACCTTTTCTAGCCGTTATGATGTGCCCTTTGTCCCGTGCTAGTAGACATGCGAAAAATATGCACTTGCTCGAGATAATGTTTGCTGGCAGCGTGCCAAATATGATTTGCAGGGGAAATGGGACGTTTCCAGATTTGACTTGGTGAGGGACGCAAGATGCATCTGTTTAGATCTCTACATCAATGAGTTCTGGGAGGATCCAGCACTGGTATTCGATTTCATGAATCCTTGCAAGTCAAACTTCTCATTTGACGACAAAGTACTGCAGAAGCTATGGATCCCCAACACTTGTTTCATCAACTCGAAAAATGCTGCTATTCATGAATCACCATTCAAGTAAGCAGAGGAAGTAATAGAAAGTTTCGTTTTTAATATCTGATTACTCCGAAATTTTTTTCGATAACTTTTGCCAGAGTAAATAAATGTGAAAGCTGTGATTAACTGCGAAAGAGCGGGTCATGCTCTTTACAAAAGTGACCCAAACAGTCCAAAGTATTGCTGGTCTCCTAAAAACTCTTTAATGACTATTTCATTCTATTTTCAGACATTGTAAATGAGCCAAGATGCAGCAGCTGCAAAAAAATCATGTAGTTTGCTGTAGACGGCAGTCTATAAATCACTGCAAGTATAATAGGTTGAATTTCGCAAGTTTTTGAAATGTAAAAATGCATATTTCACCGCAAAATAGGATCAGCAACGAGAATTTGAAGAGTAGATATTCCTTTGAAGAAAACTGCCGAGGAAAGAGTAAGGTACTTATAGTGCCTTATAGTGTTTGTTAGCTTTGCGAAACTTGATATAGAGAATGAAAACGATGGCTAATTGGATCAAAGGTAAAAATGAAACTCTGCAAATTTTTGCAGTTCTTCGAATAATTTGCTAAATTCTGATCACAAACTTTGTCATTAGAAATAAGATTGCAGATTCTTATTGCTAAACTTTTTTTGGTTGTTTCTGTGCAATATTGACTCAAATTTTGGAAAACGGAGAAACTTTCATAATTGACCTAACGTGTAATCTCATATTTGCAGTTTTTAATAAATTTACAACTGCAAAACACGTTCCGTGGTCTTTTTGTACGCCAATTTTACAGAAATGTTTTCCTCATGGTGTTTCGAAATGGTACTCTGTGGACGAATTACCGAATGAAACTAACTGGTCCATGTGATATGAACCTCAAGCGATTCCCCTTTGATCAGCAAAAGTGCTTTCTCACATTTGAATCGTAGGTGTTTCTCTTCTCTCACAATCAAATCAGATCCACCTTGCAAGACTACGGCTCTTCTAGGTACAATTACAACACAGGCGAAGTGCGTATGCAGTGGAATCAGCCCTATCCTGTAATGCTCTTGAAACCGATACAGTTGCCAGATTTTGAGCTCGTCAACTTTAGTGTCATAGCAATAGAGCAGGTACACTTTTGATTAACTCTTTTAAAGTTAATGAAAAATGATCTTTTTCAGATGTATCCAGCAGGGTGGTGGGATGAGCTAACTGTCGCATTTGTGTTCAAAAGACGCTACGGGTGGTATATATTGCAAGGCTATATTCCTACTATGGTTACTATTGTGATTTCGTGGATCTCTTTCTACTTAGGACCAAGGTGAGGCACCATAAATTTTTGATATCGAGTATGTCAAAAAAATTTTTCACTAGAATCAGCTGGAATGATATGACTTCGCACACTGTTTTGAGAGCCCTCCCAAGTGTGCTGAAAATTGAACTTTTGTCCATCTAGTGAGAATAATAATCCAAAGCTACTGCTTCACTCAATTTTCCTTTATTTCTTTTATTTTCTCTCTCTTTTCTTTCTCTTTCTCTAAGGAGCTCTTTCACTTTGCTCGTAATTTTTCCAGACTCTCCATATTTGCTCATATCACTGTCCACCTGTAGCAGTCCGAGAAATTTCGTTCAGGAGGGGGGGGGGGGGGGGAGCAAGAAACCTTTTTTGAATCTTTGGATATGGCTCTAGCCACGCGCACTTTCCAGAAAATTTTTGAGATGCTTCCCAAATACCTGATTTTTTTTGCAACTGAAAAAAAACATATTTGTTTTAAGTGATAAATATTAGGTCATACCGAAAGTTCTTGCGCACGGTTTTCAAAAATTCATAACTTGATGAATTCTCAATGAATTTACAAGATCTAAATCTTGTATAAGAGAGGAAATCATGCTCTTTGCAACAGTTCTTGAACTTTCTTTAGTGTATACTAATGAAGGAGATAGAAGCTCAAAACCAAAATCACTCAAAATTTGAATTTTTCGTGTAGGGTCATAAAAAATCGGAAACTTGCAATAAAAATCGGACCAGTCAGTATCGTAGGTTCTTTTACAAGCTCTTTTCAACAGTGCAAAGTTTGCGCCGATTGAGCTTCCTTGTGGAAAAGTAATGAATTCCTTGAAAAATGTCAAAATAAATCAAATTCGCTTTTTTGTATTGCTTGCTCGAAAATCATAACTTTTCATAGAGAGCTCAATCGGCGCAATTTTTGCACTGTTGTAAAGAGCTGGTAAAAGAACCTACAATGCCGACTGTTCCGATTTTTGTTGCAAGTTTCCGATTTTTTATGACCCTACACGGAAAATTCAAATTTCCAGTGAATTTGGATTTGAGCTTCTATCTCCTTCATTTGTAAACATTAACGAACAATTCAGGTACATTTGCAAAGAGCATGAGTTTCTCTCTTATGCAAAGTTTAGATCTTGTAAATTCGTTGAGAATTCAACAAGTTATGAATTTTTGAAAATCGTGCGCAAGAACTTTCGGTACGACCTAATATTAGGTTGATGCAAAAATAATGAGCGTTTTCCCATTTTTCACTTTAACTTGCTATAACTTTCTACGAAATCTACATTTTGAAATGAAATAAAGACCATCAGATGCAGCGAACCTTTTGCAGTACAGCGCACATTGAGCTACACTCATATCTCATATGGGCAGAAAAATATGGATTGAAAAACAAAAAAGTTTTTTTCTGAAGTCTTGTTTTTGACAAAACATAACTCCTTTCACACTTTGTTATTATAATTAATAAGCAGCCTATCTTGTAGCCGCAAGTCATTAGTACAAATATACTTGGAAAGAGAGGGAAAAATCGAAATTCAAAAATATCAACTTTTTCAGCATTTTTTCAGTAGGCCTCAAGATCGCGAAGTACAGAATTTTCTAATTTTCTGCGTACTGAACAGCTAAATGTCTCTGCTAAAACTGTCTATAGGATGCCCTATTCTCGCACTTATGGAGATGAGCGAAGTTTGGGCGGCGCATTCTACAAAAGGAAGTTATGGGCTCTAAAATGACCACAACCATTACCCATGTTAAGCCGCCGATATCGCACTCTAGATAACTTTAAAGAATGTGGCTAAGTATGCATAATGTCGACAATTTTTATTACATATAGCGGCTAAATTTTCGAAAAAGCACCTTCATTTGCGCTCAAATTCTGGTCAGAAAAATGAATGCAATAAAAATCTGGTTTTGAGTGCGATTATTTGAAGCTCTAAAAATTCTTAACAGAGTGGGCTAGAAATCACTTTCGAACATTTATTTATTTATTTATTTATTTAAATGCACCAAAAAGTGCTCTTTGACCCTGATCGGAGCAGTTAGTAACAAACACAATATATCACCATCGCATGGTTAATCAAATATACATGAGAAAAACACGTATGAACCAATCGTTGGCATGTACCCTGCAGGAAGCACAGAGAAACTAAGGTACCAAAACTTGTCCCTGGGATTATCTTTGGGTAAGGAGTGGCCAGAGTTGTTACTCTGGTGTATAGCATAATAAAACTGTTACTCTCACTGTCTTTCAGAAATTAAAGTCCCTCTTTTGTGGAGGCCAGCGAGCCTACGGGCGGAAGCTAGCTGGTTAAAGCCCCGAGGAAGGATGAGTGAATTTTTGAAAGTACAATGAGACTAACAGAGCTAGACAGGACAAAAAAAGCAAGAAAGGAAACCGTTTGAGGCCCATGCTGCCAAAGTACCGATTGATAGCATCGGAAGAATGCAGGGATCATGCCAAAGAAAGGATGACAAAATAAATCTAAAAAAAAATAAAATTACTTCACATCGTCAATTCCCATTAACTGCAATAAATCTACTTTCTTCAACGCCGTTTTCAATTGAGCCACTGAATTTAAAGCTAAGAATGGTGGTGGAAGTTTATTCAAGATCGAAGCTGCTCGATAAAAGAAGTTGTTGCGTTGCAACGAGATGTTGTGCCTTCCAAACCTAGAAACAACCAGGTTAAAGGAGGCCCTGCGTTCACTGATAGGTTGGAAAACCCAGTATTTACTGGGTTTCAAACCCACCTCGGCTCGCAGAACTTTGAAGGCCATAATAGTATCCGCTAACAATCTTCTGTAGAAAAGAGTTTTGAGACCTAACTTGCGAATTCTGGTTGTGTAGTTTGGCAAGGCGAAAGGGTAGTTCGGATTGGGAAATGCGCGATAGAAAACAATCTTAGTAAATATTCTTTGAATTTTTTCAATTTTATCAACATCTTTTTTCAAAGTAGGGTTCCATACAAAGCTGCAATACTCCACAACTGGCAGAACAAATGTTTTATAGATTTTCAAAAGAAGTTTAGGATCTGAAGATTGCACACTGCGCATTATCGCATACAATATTCGAGTTCCTCGAGAGGCAATTTCGTCTATTTGACACGAGTATCTAAGTCTAGAATCTGTGAGAACTCCCAGGTCTTTGACCAGGAATTTACACTCGAGATCAAAGCTGCTATCAATTGAATGGGAAGGGGTTCTGCCAATGGGAACAGTACAACTTTTGGAGTAATCTACTTTGATGTTCCATCTATCTGCCCAATCAATCATTCGAGAAATTGAGCTACGAAGTGCTGCATGAGCACTCCCCTTGTCGCGCTGGTCATAGACGATATATATTTTAACATCATCAGCGTACGCAGCCACTCTAACTCGTGGATCTGTGATAAGACAGGCTGGCAGGTCAATGGTATAAATAATAAAGAGAATCGGTGACAGAATACTGCCTTGAGGAACTCCAGACTTACAAGGTCTAGCCGCAGAAATTCTGTTAAGTACACGAACAGAGAAGGTTCTGTCCTGAAGATAGGATGCGAACCATCTCAGCAGTGAAACTCTCACTCCCAAGCTCTCCAGCTTAGACAAAAGAAGATTGTGATCAACTGTGTCGAATGCTTTACTCAGGTCAAAATAGACTACATCTATAGACTTATTCAGACTCAATCCTTCTGTCCAGTCAAATTGGACGTCAAGAAGTTGTGTACCGGTAGATCGGCCTTGCAAAAATCCATGTTGTTGCTCAGGCAGACAATTTGATTTATCAAGCCAATGCAACAAATTTCTAACAATTATTTTTTCTAATATTTTGAAAGGAGTAGGGAGTATACTTATTGGTCTATAGTCAGAGAGCTTGGGATTGAGAGATGTCTTGGGGAGAGGAGTAACAATGGCGGATTTCCAGAGATGAGGCATATCTGCATTCATCAAGGATATATTATAGATGTGAGTTAATGGAGGCACTAGTTCGTCAGCAAACATCTTGTAAAAGATAGGAGGTATGTTGTCAGATGTGATAGACAAAGTTGGGCTTACTTTTTTCAAAAGTTTCCGTATGGACGAAGGGTCTATCCTTGGTAAAGGGCAACAACCCAAGGATCTGTTAATCAGTATGGGACATGATGCAGAAGGTTCTGAGAACACGGAGGAAAACTGATCTGCCAAAGCTTCAGCTTTGGAGATGGAAGTATTGTATACATTGCCATTAGAGTCTTCCAAAGGACCAAAGAATTTGTTTTCTTTCAAATGTTTTTTCAGATAGGCCCAAAGTTTACATTTGCCAGTATTTCTGAACATTCTCTTTTCCTTCTGTTTCAAGTAACGCCTCAAATGCCTTGATAACTCCTTAAAGACAATTTTGTACTCTGTATTGTTTAGGGGATCATTAAGGCTCAAAAACAGTCGAATTCTCTGCATCCAAAGATTTTTTATATGCTGAGGATAACGTAGAAAGGAAGGTTGTCTTTTCTTTATGGGAACGTATTTTTCAATCAAGTCGTGGATTATATTGAGAAAGCGATTGTAAAGATCATCAATGTTGGAGTATCCATCAAACACGCTCAACCAATCAATATTTGACAATGCATCTTTTATGGATCTAAAGTCAGCCTTAGAGTAGTCGCGTATAGACGAATGCTCAGGTATATCATCATGACCAGTAGACAAGGCTAAATTGAAAGACACTATATTATGATCAGAACTTGCATTTGAATCTCAGTAACAGTCTCACTCTTAGCAAATATAAGATCTAGAATAGAGGTTCCCCTTGTGGGAGCTTTAACCAGCTGTGGAAACCCCAGACATTCAAAAAGCGAAACAAAGCGAGCGGAGAAGGATGATGAGATTGCTTTCATTTCTGTCCAGTCAACATCATTTAGATTGAAATCGCCAAGAAAAATGATATTTCGAGTAGACGTGGCTAAGTTTTCCAAAATGCCAATAAGTTGTTCATCAAGACCAGACGTTTGACTGGGTGGCCGGTAGAGCAGTACGAATATGGTAAAGTTATCACCACCAAAGATAAGGTCAAAAGCAATCAGGTTCGTTGGCCCAAAGTGCCTCTGCTCGATAGTACGAAAAACGAGATCATATCGGATCAATACACATACCCCTCCTCCTCTTCTTTTTTTGCGATCATTGCGCAAAATATTGCTATTATATAAATAATAGCTATAATATTGAAGATCGCTCAAAATCTCTGCATCTTTAATAACACTACTAAACCAGGATTCTGTCACAAAAACCATAGCCGGTTTCTGAGTATGGAGTAGATGATGAAAATCAACAAGTTTGTTCATTAAACTTCTAGCATTTAGTAAAAGACAAGTAACCGAGGAGGAGTCTGAGCACGTAATCAGTTTTTTTGCAGGCTTGCTTTGATGCTGGGAATGTCTGAGGCCTTCACAACTTCGCCTCTATAAACTACGAATACCTTGCCCCCACCGTGCTCTTTGCTATTCAGCTCCCGCGCTTGCTGACGCAGGGCCCGGTCGTGATCTCTTTCCTCGCGGGTCATAGACCTACGAATGTAGATCTGATCACAACCGGGCAAGCTGCGCAGCAGTGGTGCTTTTTTGAGGGTACTGTAGTAGAACTGCTGCGAAGGAAAGACACACTTGATCAGGCGCGGCCTGCTGCCCCCCGGTCTCCCCATCCTATAGATCTCTAGTGGTCTAGTTTCGATGTCCATTTTATCTAAAATGGACATCACTGAGCTTTCAGTATGTGCCTGACGTTGAGACGCGAGAGCGTCATTCAATTCCGGCACTCCTGAAATTACTATTGACCGAGACCTTTTGTCTTGCTCGATGAGATCACCGGGGGCCGGCCTGATCAACTGGATCAATCGATCCAGCAGCGGCAAGGCCTCTGGAGCCTTGCCTGCTAAGATAGAATGAAGCTGAGATATCAACTTACCTTCTCCCTCGGCTTGCGGCAGCGACTGACTAAGAATATCAGAAGAAGAGGCAGTAGAATCCACAATAATACCAGCACCAGCTTCCCTAGCTTTCTTCGCAGTACGACGCTGTGACACCATTGTAGAGAGCAAATGAGAACACGACCGCTCGCCGCCAATGCTTGATATCGAATGATCTTTAGATACATCTTTACATCATCAAACATCTTTAGATAGAGCATGAAAAGAGCTTTCTAATAGTATGCTGAAATCGTTACAAAGAAGGAAGTTTGATGGAAAAAAGTTATCCTGAAAAAAGCCCTGTGAAAACGCTCATTATTTTTGCATCAACCTAATATGATATCATTGAAAGGATGATGATGTTTAAACTGTGGAGCACTGTTGGAATAATGCAATTTTATCTCTCCTCTTTTTTGGACGCAACTCTATAAAAAAATGCCTTCCTTCATGTTACTGGCAAATGTCAATGGCACAAATATTCAGCTGTTTATGTCCTTTTAATAAATGTTCTTAGGGCGATCCCGGCAAGAACTATGTTGGGTGTGAATTCTCTGTTAGCAATGACGTTTCAATTTGGTAATATCATCAGGAATCTTCCACGGGTATCTTACGTAAAGGCGATAGATGTGTGGATGTTGAGGTGAATATTTCAAGCTCTGGCGACACAGTCACAAAGTATCAGCTTTCAGTGGTATGCTATTCATTTTTCTTTCGTTGCTGGAACTAGCCGTTGTTGGGTTTATGTCAAGAAATGAAGGTCTCCCTCCAAAGGCAAAAAAGAAACGGAAAAGAGACGAGGAAGATGATGACTTCTCTTGGAAGGGTATACAGACTAGTCCTCATTTGGAGCTAAGACAGGTCTGTTAGAAAGATATCTCTCGCAAAACTGGAGTAAAAATACAGCTTTAGTTCTGGGTCGATAAGCGTATCAATTCCGTGCGCAATAGCTCAGATGTGAGTGTAAATAATCTTCCAACAATTTTTCGGTCAGCACATTTTTGATAGGCATTATCACAATATCCAACGGACGGTCCACCCGCCATAGAGGTTCCCTACGCACCAATACAACGAAATCGACCTCGTCGTAGACTATTCAACACTCTACGAAAATGGTGGAGAAACGTTCCGTCGGTGCGACCAGAGACTGTAGACTTTTACAGGTTGGTTTTGAGAATTCATCTAGGGAAAAACCGGTAGAGTTTCCTTCTCACAAGGTAAGGAAGAGTCAGAGTGGTCTTTCGGTGTAAGATGGATACCGCTTTGAAGCTTCCTTATCTGCTGCAGGCTCCTGGACAAGGAGTTAAGAAAAATTTTACAAGCAAAAATTCGCATGTGCAGCTGGGCTAAAATAAGTCATAATATTTTTCCTAAGGCTCGAATAACTTTCAGGTTACTCTGTGTAATGCGTAATCTTAATTTAAGCATATCCAAATAACTCTGCCACTTCATGATCATGCATTCTTTGTCCATAAAACCTTCAAAACTTCTTGCTCAGAAACCCGCAGCAGATAAGAACGGTTTAGAATTAGCGTTTCTAATCTTCAAGTCATTGTACATCTCATAGAGAGAGTGATTAACCTTCCTTCCCTCAGTAAGCTTGATTTGACACATAAAGGTGATTTCTTAGAGATTGCATCCCCTTCTCTCGGCTTATATTACACGAGGTAGGAACAAGTAGACTGGGAGAAGCTTCGAATGTATAAAATGAAAAAAAAATTTGGCTCCCGGTTCCCTATTCAAATCAATTCCTCAACAACAGAATTGTTGCTGCTAATATCTTCAGTTATTATTCAATGCGATTTCAGCGCAATCTTCTTCCCTACAGCGTACTGCATGTTCAATATGTCGTAAGTTCCAGACATTAGCATCTTCATAGTATTTTAAACTTTTGGATTCAGGTACTGGGGTTACTACTTGTCCAGTCTTTCTGCTGTTGATGATGATACTGTGCCTGTCTGATACGCTATCGACAAAACTGCTCTGTTTTATGATTATGTACAAATAATTATTGAATAAGACAATTGATTCATATATATTCAATCAAGGAATATCAACCGATAAGTTGAAGTGCCGAGCGACCGATACGAGTTCCGTATAGATCAGAAACACTCCCGATTGAGCTAATGGAGGTATGGGGTAGAGAAAGAGAAACAGCGGGTAGTGGTATCCAAACAGCAGAATTCCTGCCAAACTGATTTATTCTAACTCATTGACGACGACGCCTAATTTTGTGTAGCGGCGCTGTGGGACGACGCGATTCTGCACGACAATTGCGGCGCGAGAAGGCTTTGTGATTATTTACGAAATGTAAAAATGTTTTGTGAACAGCTACTGTTATCCTCTTGGACGACGAAATCTACAGGTTTCAAGAGTGCAAAAAACTGGAAGAAATGGTGAACTCTGGAAAAAGTACTAGGCCTGGAAATGATATGGTTTTGCAAGGGGTTTGGGTCACCATATCCACATCATACATGGCGGCAAAAAGAGCGTGGGCCACCGGTGGTCCACATCGTCGTCAATGAGTTAAAAAGGGAGAGAGCTCGTGCTATATTTAGGAATCGCGTCGGTAAGTTTGATATTTGATATTAGCACGTTTCAGACTAGTGTTGTATCGAGCGCTTCTAAAGGGGCAAAATAGTGATAGTTAAAATTAAGGAAGAAGAAGGAAAAAATCAGGTTCAAGAAGCGAAATTCCGACTTTGGTGTATTTGGTGAATTTGCGGCGATTGCTTATGCAATACGCACACGTGCACTCATGCAAATTCTCGTGTAGCACTAAAGTGGAGTATTGAGTCAGGACGGAGAGGTTATCCTCCTTTACAACACTGGTTTCTCTGCTCCCTCCGCCATCCGTACAAAGAATCATCATTATGTCAACAATCTTTAGTGGTATACCCAGACTTTGTTTGGGGACGACAGCCGCGCCGAAATATTTTTTTTGGATCAAAGTTTTTGCGAACCCATAATCCCAAAATCTCAGGAAAGGGGGTCGTTGCGGTAGCCGCGCCCCGAGGATTTTTTTACAATGCTAATTTGAATTGCTAAAACTTGTCAAAAACTACTGTATTCATTCACAAGTACAAACAAGTGACTTCCACAATTTTATAACTCATGTGAGTAACTTCCAAAAATTTCGCGACCCATTCTCAGTGGGATGAGGGTTGTATTCAAACATTTCTTTGATAACACAAACAATTGCTCCCTGCCAGCGTAGTCAGTCATGGCACTTGCGTATGAAGCACCCACCAGTAACTCTGCCCTCTCCAAATAAGAGGTGTTATAAGCTAAGCTGAAAGTGTATCATTCTGTACTTATTCTGAGTCAATACTTGAAAAAAGCAGTGAACAAGTTGTATATCTTAATTGCTTTCCCTCAGTAGTTATCTATCAGTCGTAGTGCTCAGGGAATGATTCCTCAAGTGTAACAAATTTATTAAAGCCGTCGAAAGGTCTCGCGCGAAATAGCATTTTTGAAAAGTTTGTAGAAGAGGTGTACGAGCTTTAGGAAGCATCTCACAAAGCAGACTATCGTGTTCTCACGAAAATGGTTTGGGAAGTAGAATTGAAAAAATCATGGTTAGGTTAAATCCATACAAGGTTGAATCCATACATGCAAAAGACTGTTGACTCGTTGAAGTGGTGCTCTCAATAAAGCCGTGGGAAAGACAATGTAAGTATCAAAGTTATTCAATTTCCTCCAATCACCGTTTAGAGAGATAGGCATTCAATTGAAGTTGGTGCAAATTTTTTTGAATGATCAAACACGGGTGTATGTCAAGAGGCGCGATTTTTATTGCTAGACTAGCTGGCTTGCCCGGCTCCTCCCGGCCCTGTCAAAAAATTATGTTAACGCTCTCATCCGTATCTCTGTACAACCTTTCCCTGTGCCCACGCTACGTGCCATTTCCCTATTCCCGCTGTTTCAGAAATCAGCATGCTCGATTACCTCCCTGTGCCAACTCCCAGCCCCGTAGCTCAAACTTTGCAAAACATCGATAAAATCGATAAAGTAATGGAAAATTTCAAAAACTAATATTGTATTATTATTATTATTATTATTATTATTATTATTATTTATTACATAGGATATCCTATGCATTGAACATCAACAAAGAAGTATTACAAAACATTGAAAAAAACTTGTTAGTAACACAATACAAAAAAAACGATAATGACAGATTTTCATTGAGAAAGCAAATAGTCCTTTAAAAGCATCTTAAACTGTGAAAGCTTCACAGGAAGCATTCCTCTTCTCATCAATCTATCTAGATCACTACTAATTCTGTTAACAAAGAATCTCCTCCTCACATTTCTTGCTCTAGGTATAACTATCTTTCTTGAACCTCCCCTGGTTTTAGAATTCCTGGTTTTAAAAAAGGAGAATGGGTCGAGATGATAATTTTTGAATATAATCTTGTGAGCTGTGATAAGATCAAACATCCTCCTTCTCGTGGCTAAACTGTATAGCCCGAGCTCCTTGTTTCTGAGCGTCCCTTTGGGTAATTTTTCATATCGAAAGCCTTTAGTCCGTATAAGCAATTTCCTTGTAAAATTATTCTGTACCTTCTCAAGCACTCGAATTGAACTGGTTTTGGTAGGGTTGAGGACTACAGTACCATACAGGGCCCGGCAGGAGGTGGCATTTCAGAATTTTGAGAACGATATCCCCTTTGAAGCCGAAATTTCCTACGACTTTCCCTTTAACCCTATTTTTGACCCCTGTAAGTCCCTGACAAACAGATAAACACAAATAATAAGATGGGCGGCCTCAGCGCTTATTATAGTAGTACTACCTGGCTTTCCTGGTCCAGCCCGGGTCATCAAGGTTTCAGCTCAATGGGTTCATCCGCAAAGGAATCTATAAAAAACATAGGGTCAAAATTTGCACAAACTTTGATTTATATATCTAAGACACTACTCATTTATTAGTCAGCTGCGAAACTTTACAATATACAATAACCGATTGCGAATGGAGCGCGCTTTCCGAGGCCGATCATAACGCTGTGAACCCTATTTGGGGCTGTATCGAAGCGGTGCCTTGGTGGTTTTGGAAGCGGATTTGAACATATAGTAATACTCTCGACCTAGTCCACATTTATGTAAAGAAATCCGGGAAATTATGTGAAGGGAAGCAGGGAGCCGCCCCAGGTGGCTCCCAGGTGGCGCGGGAGCCACCTAGTTTCGAAAAACACTTACCATTTCTTAGATTCACATAAGTTTCTCATAACTCTTCATACTTTTTTTGTGCTCATGGTCCTCCAACTACACAGCAAATTTGGTGCCATATCGTTACTTGTGCATTGAAAACGAGCCTATTTTGTTATTTTCCTCTTACAAGGATTGCGATTTGAATTTCCGTCTGCGGGCAGGCTAGCGATCGGAGCACAGAATCTTCACATTGCTGGAATTTAAGTTCATAGAGCAGTGGCATCAACAAGGAATGATGAATAAAGAATGATATGTGCATTGTTTATCGGTAAACAAAGGGGAATTCGTATTTTGTGGTCCGGGGCTCCGCCGCGGACCCCGAAATACGACTTCCCCTTTGCTTTTTCGGGCCAAAAACGATATCCAGCTTGTGAAAGCGCCATCCCCGCCGGGCCCTGGTACCATATTCTAGTAACGGCCTGATATAAGTTTTATAAGCCCTAATGAGCAGGCACGTGTCACTAGTTGATAATGCTCTGAATAAATTATAAACAGCTGCATTACCTCTGGCAGCAACTACTTCACAATGCTTATCGAAACAAAGGCTGCTATTAACCAGAAAGCCTAAGTCTTTTACTTCATTGACATAGTCAAGGTCCTCCCCTTCAATTTGATATCGATAATCTGAGTCGGTAATACCAATGTGGAGTACCTTAGTTTTTTCCCGAGATATGGGTAGTTTCCAATTTAAAGACCATGCAACCACTGCATCTAGCGCTCGCTGAATCTTAGCTCTATCTTCGGCTGTTGCCACTTCACTATAAATTTTGAAATCATCAGCAAATCCGCAACACGACACTCCGAATCTTGAGACTAACTGAGGAAGATCATAAGTATAGATGTTAAAAAGAATTGGTGACAGGACGCCACCCTGCGGTACCCCACTAGTCATCATTCTGAGCTTTGAAAAAGTACGATTGATATGAACAGTGAATTTGCGATTAGATAAAAAGGCAGAAATCCAGGCAATTATGCATGGGTGTATTCCTATTGATTCCATTTTAAGAATGAGTTTTGAATGCGGTACTTTATCAAAGGCTTTGGTGAAATCTAAATAAACAACATCGGTACTTATGCCAGAATCTAGGGACAGGGTATTCGTAATCAGCATGCTCGGTTACCACCTTGCGCAAACTCCCAGCCCCGTAGGTCAAACCTTACAAAAAAATTGATAAAAATCGACAAAATCGATATCCATCGATGACGAAAAGTAGCCTATGACACCCGCCCTGCCCCAAAGTGTATGTACGCCAAGTTTGGCCCGGATCGGTTCAGAAGTGGAATTTTCTATTTGGAACATACGTACGTACAGACATACATACACAGACATTAACCTTTATATATAAGATGGACACCAAGTAGCACATAATAAGTGTTTTATGACTTTCTAGAAGTATTCAAATTTTAAAAGGAGATGTATCAGATAATAGCACGGGTTGCTAAATCTTAATACCTTGGAGTCGGTTTGAAACACCAAATGTGAAGGTCAAAAAACTATGAAAATGCAGTTGAGAACGAGTCCGTAAATATTCGATCCATTTTCCAGCAAAAGCCACCAAACTCAACAATTAGTAATGTCAGACAGATTGTAAGAAAATGCACTTTATTCGGCACGTTGCGGACTCGCACGCACTGAACTGAAGTTCTAAGCTAATGACAGCCGGAGAAATCGCGCCTCTTGACCGTCTCCCATCAAACACTAATGACGAAATACTAAGGCCGTGGCTGTCAATGCTGATTGCTCTTGTTTTTTCCTTTTTTGGTGTTAAATTTATAAACGTGACTATTTGACATAGTCGAGATAAAGCGGAACAATAGTCATAAACGCTTCTATCTCTTTAACTCGATTTTCTCTTAGCATTACCCGGAAACATCGAAATATTTGTTTTGCTTTCTTTGGAGAAACTGTCTGCCTGTTTGTGCTTGAACATTGAACGTATGGAGGCGGCCCACTGCTACTCGAACATCATTAAATTCTTTCATTCATTTTTACGTAAGAAAAAGATTTTTGATGATGGTCAGAAGCTCGATAGATCTGTACAATAATCATTCTTCTTTGGCTAGGATGCAACTCCAGCTTTGGTTTTCTTCTCGTCCATTCGTACTTCAGCGCGTTCTTCCTTGTCGTTTTTAAGTGAAGTTTTCTCATCTGTTTCCCTGGTTTCAAGTTGCGAAGAATCTTTCGCTTTTAAGGCGTCGTTTCCTGTGCCCATAAAAGCATCGCGAATCTGAGCCATACAGTATAGCAATCCTCGCAGCATGTTCAGAAACATAGAAAATAATGTTTGCGTCTGTCCGGACTCCATTCTGTGACCATATGCACTCAATTTCTTCTCTATGCGGTGTCTGACTGCAACATTTATATCGGACATCTCTTCAACACGATTAATCTAAATTGCTCCAAAATAGCAATGCAAAATAAGAAATGAGGAATACAAGACCTGCTCATTCAGATCAGCTTTTTCATATTTGCATTTCCTTTGAAAGCTCAACACAGCCTGTTCCAGATCTAGCAGATGCTTTTCATACTTTGACTGCCATTTGGCTACACTATCCTTGATCTTCTGCACTTTTTCCTCCTCAATAGGAACAGGTACAGTCAGCACTGTTGTCAAAAAAATGTACTAAAAGCTACCTTGATCTCCGATAATATTTTGTTAAGCTTTTCCAGACGATTTTCCAACTCATTTTCCCCGCTATCATGCCATACAAATGATTTATTTCTGAAGAAGTAGCTATTGGGAAAGCTCAATAGTCTTTCTTTGACAGATTTTTATGTAACTACATCATTTTGTGTAACAAACTGACAGAATTTCAGTCGTTTTAAACCAAGTTTTCCGAGAACACTTAGGCTTTGAATGCATATTAGAGCAAAAATAAAACTCCTTATTCTTTTGTAAGAACAGATCCTATTTATGGGAAATGTTTCATAATGGAAACTATGAAAGTTTGAGAATTCAGAAGAAATCGCAGCGGGAAGAAGAAACTGACTCTTGATCTTGACCATGTACAGATTATTTTTTATTTTCTCCAGAAAAAATCAACAAAATTGGAGTCTTTTGCAGCGTTGGCATGACACTTTAATTGCGGGAGGAAGGAAGCGGAGGAAGACGTTCTTGCCTCCCCCCCCCCCCTCCCTTCTCCCTTTTCCATGGTTCGGTCGCAAACTCCAAACATTTTGTTAAGGCCCAGAATTTTTCCGAGAGCGTCGCGCCCATTCCTCTCATGAAAAAATCCCACAACTGCACAAGATAATCTAATCACATACAGCAACTGATGGAAGAAGAATTACTGTAAAGTTGTCTTTCGATCAACTTACGTGAAGTAAACTTCAGAAATTTCTGAGATATGTTCATCATCCGGTGGAGAGAATGCTACCGCAGCCTTGAACACTACTAATTAGAAACCACTGCATTATACATAAGAAATTGGTAGGAGAAACTGTGTGTATTCCAACTCCAATTATCATATCCTAACGTGCAGAAAACAACCGAACCATATAAGTATAATTCTTCAACATCAAAAATGTTTTTTTGCAGTCGACAATTAGTAAGACGTATGGTATGGTCTAAAAAAGACACTTGATCACTTCCAATATCCATACATTGTGCAAGAGTCAAGTGCCTCTGCAAAGATCTAATGAGAAGCCTGGCATATACTGCTTTAAGGTATGTTAGGATGAAGCGAAAGTTCAGTATTTTCAAAAAAATCCTGACCTCTTCATGTCACGATTTCTTCTCTGGCATTATTATAGTAGAGGGAGGGTAAATCATGCACTCTCTGATTATCTTGCTTGCTCTCTAATGAGCTCGATTGCAGAGATAGAATTGAAAAGAAAAATTTTAATTTGGTGATTTGAGGCAAGTCCTTTAGAAACCCAGAACTGTGCAATATTTGAAATAGCCAGTATCATAAGTTTCCTGACCTTCACTTTCAAAGTGAGCAAAGTCTGTGCAAATCCCACTCTTCTATGAGAATTTATGATTTAAAGATCCAAAAAACCAATTTCTTCCTTTGGTGATATTTTCTAGAGTATTATAGCAAAAAGGAGCTCCTACGAGCACAAACTTTACCCAACTAGGCGAGGTCAGGAAACCTATGACACTGGCGGCATTCCATTTTGCTGCTCCAAGTTTCTAAAGGGCTTAATTCAAATCGTCGACCCTTGAATGATCTTCTCCACTCTTACCTCTGTAGACAGAGCTTATTTATTAGAGAGTAGGCGAGATGTCATGAGTGAGTAAGTACATTTACTCTTTCCAAAATGTCTACCATAGAAAAAGTTGTGATTTTTTTTGAAAATGGTGTGGCATAACCTAGAATCAGCTCAATAGATCCCAGCATTGGTCTGAAGCAATGAGAGCCCTGAAGAAGAAAAAGCATCCCAAAAGGCACAACATGAAAGGAGACCGACGTTGGGTTGCGAGGAAGGACGATGTATCGTCGATAAAACGCATCGAAACCAATGCAGGTGAGAGCTTATTGCACATCTCCTTAAATATCTAACTTATCCATTAGGCCACAGGGCCTGTGATGTATGAAACAAATTCATATTTCGATCGCATAGCATCAGTCACTCTGTCAAAGGCATTGAGCCCTAAATCTTTGGTTGCACTATACTAGATTACGGCATCAGCTGGATTGATATTCGAACGTTTCTGGTCTGGCAAAATCTGCGACCCAGCAAGGACTCGAACCTTGAATTTTCGGTTTAGGAGACCGACGCCTTATCCATTAGGCCACAGGGCCTCTGATGTATGAAACAGCTTCATACTTCGAGAATATATTATTCAAGGATTTGAATGAAAAAAAACCCCAACACAATAGGGAAGTGAGCCCTAAATCTTTGCCTCGGGCAAGTAACGCACTATCCACTAGACCACAGTACCAGCTGGATTGATATTCGAACGTTTCTGGTCTGGCAAAATCTGCGACCCAGCAAGGACTCGAACCTTGAATCTTCGGTTTAGGAGACCGACGCCTTATCCATTAGGCCACAGGGCCTGTGATGTATGAAACAACTTCATATTTCGATCGCATAGTGTCAGTCACTCTGTCAAAGATTTTGGTAAAAAACTCAACACAGCAGGGAATTGAGCCCCAAATCTTCGGCTCGGGCTAACGCACTATCCACTAGACCACGGTACCAGCTGGATTGATATTCGAACGTTTCTAGTCTGGCAAAATCTGCGACCCAGCAAGGACTCGAACCTTGAATCTTCGGTTTAGGAGACCGACGCCTTATCCATTAGGCCACAGGGCCTGTGGTGTATGAAACATCGCATAGTATCAGTCACTCTATCAAAGATTTTGGAAAAAAAACTCAACACAGCAGGGAATTGAGCCCCAAATCTTCGGCTCGGGCTAACGCACTATCCACTAGACCAAGTACCAGCTGGATTGATATCCAGCTGGTTCCGTGGTCTAGTGGATAGTGGTCTGGCCTGGCAAAATCTGCGACCCAGCAAGGACTCGAACCTTGAATCTTCGGTTTAGGAGACCGACGCCTTATCCATTAGGCCACAGGGCCTGTGATGTATGAAACAGCTTCATACTTCGAGAATAGTATTATTCAAGGATTTGAATGAAAAAACCCCAACACAATAGGGGATTGAGCCCTAAATCTTTGGCTCTGGCAAGTAACGCATTATCTACTAGACCATGGTACCAGCTGGATTGATATTCGAACGTTTCTGGTCTGGCAAAATCTGCGACCCAGCAGGTACTCGAACCTCGAATCTTCGGTTTAGGAGACCGACGCCTTATCCATTAGGCCACAGGGCCTGTGGTGTATGAAACATCGCATAGTATCAGTCACTCTATCAAAGATTTTGGAAAAAAAAACCCAACACAGCACGGAATTGAGCCCTAAATCTTTGGCTCGGGCAAGTAACGCACTATCCACTAGACCACGGTACCAGCTGGATTGATATTCGAACGTTTCTAGTCTGGCAAAATCTGCGACCCAGCAGGTACTCGAACCTCGAATCTTCGGTTTAGGAGACCGACGCCTTATCCATTAGGCCACAGGGCCTGTGATGTATGAAACAACTTCATATTTCAATCGCATAGTGTCAGTCACTCTGTCAAAGATTTTGGTAAAAAACTCAACACAGCAGGGAATTGAGCCCCAAATCTTCGGCTCGGGCTAACGCACTATCCACTAGACCAAGTACCAGCTGGATTGATATCCAGCTGGTACCGTGGTCTAGTGAATAGTGGTCTGGTCTGGCAAAATCTGCGACCTATATTCGATATTGATATTCGAATGTTTCTGGTCTGGCAAAATCTGCGACCCAGCAAGGACTCGATCCTTGAATCTTCGGTTTAGGAGACCGACGCCTTATCCATTAGGCCACAGGGCCTCTGATGTACGAAACAGCTTCATACTTGGAGAATAGTATTATTCAAGGATTTGAATGAAAAAAACCCCACACAATAGGGAATTGAGCCCTAAATCTTTGGCTCTGGCAAGTAACGCACTATCTACTAGACCACGGTACCAGCTGGATTGATATTCGAACGTTTCTGGTCTGGCAAAATCTGCGACACAGCAAGGACTCGAACCTTGAATCTTTGGTTTAGGAGACCGACGCCTTATCCATTAGGCCACAGGGCCTGTGGTGTATGTAACATCGCATAGTATCAGTCACTCTATCAAAGATTTTGGAAAAAAACCCAACACAGCACGGAATTGAGCCCTAAATCTTTGGCTCGGGCAAGTAACGCACTATCCACTAGACCAAGTACCAGCTGGATTGATATTCGAACGTTTCTGGTCTGGCAAAATCTGCGACCCAGCAAGGACTCGAACCTTGAATCTTCGGTTTAGGAGACCGACGCCTTATCCATTAGGCCACAGGGCCTGTGATGTATGAAACAGCTTCATACTTCGAGAATAGTATTATTCAAGGATTTGAATGAAAAAACCCCAACACAATAGGGGATTGAGCCCAAATCTTCGGCTCGGGCTAACGCACTATCCACTAGACCAAGTACCAGCTGGATTGATATCCAGCTGGTACCGTGGTCTAGTGAATAGTGGTCTGGTCTGGCAAAATCTGCGACCTATATTCGATATTGATATTCGAATGTTTCTGGTCTGGCAAAATCTGCGACCCAGCAAGGACTCGATCCTTGAATCTTCGGTTTAGGAGACCGACGCCTTATCCATTAGGCCACAGGGCCTGTGATGTATGAAACAGCTTCATGCTTCGAGAATAGTGTTATTCAAGGATTTGAATGAAAAAACCCCAACACAATAGGGGATTGAGCCCTAAATCTTTGGCTCGGGCAAGTAACGCATTATCTACTAGACCATGGTACCAGCTGGATTGATATTCGAACGTTTCTGGTCTGGCAAAATCTGCGACCCAGCAAGGACTCGAACCTCGAATCTTTGGTTTAGGGGACCGACGCCTTATCCATTAGGCCACAGGGCCTGTGATGTATGAAACAACTTCATATTTCGATCGCATAGTGTCAGTCACTCTGTCAAAGATTTTGGTAAAAAACTCAACACAGCAGGGAATTGAGCCCCAAATCTTCGGCTCGGGCTAACGCACTATCCACTAGACCACGGTACCAGCTGGATTGATATTCGAACGTTTCTAGTCTGGCAAAATCTGCGACCCAGCAAGGACTCGAACCTTGAATCTTCGGTTTAGGAGACCGACGCCTTATCCATTAGGCCACAGGGCCTGTGGTGTATGAAACATCGCATAGTATCAGTCACTCTATCAAAGATTTTGGAAAAAAAACTCAACACAGCAGGGAATTGAGCCCCAAATCTTCGGCTCGGGCTAACGCACTATCCACTAGAGCAAGTACCAGCTGGATTGATATCCAGCTGGTTCCGTGGTCTAGTGGATAGTGGTCTGGCCTGGCAAAATCTGCGACCCAGCAAGGACTCGAACCTTGAATCTTCGGTTTAGGAGACCGACGCCTTATCCATTAGGCCACAGGGCCTGTGATGTATGAAACAGCTTCATACTTCGAGAATAGTATTATTCAAGGATTTGAATGAAAAAACCCCAACACAATAGGGGATTGAGCCCTAAATCTTTGGCTCTGGCAAGTAACGCATTATCTACTAGACCATGGTACCAGCTGGATTGATATTCGAACGTTTCTGGTCTGGCAAAATCTGCGACCCAGCAGGTACTCGAACCTCGAATCTTCGGTTTAGGAGACCGACGCCTTATCCATTAGGCCACAGGGCCTGTGGTGTATGAAACATCGCATAGTATCAGTCACTCTATCAAAGATTTTGGAAAAAAAACCCAACACAGCACGGAATTGAGCCCTAAATCTTTGGCTCGGGCAAGTAACGCACTATCCACTAGACCACGGTACCAGCTGGATTGATATTCGAACGTTTCTAG